CAGCACGTATTTAAACGCCGCAATTTCCTCACACTTTCAGACTTACGCTTACTTGAAGGCACTTGCTTGAGCGCGCACACACACACACACACACACACACACACACACACACACACACACACACACACACACACACACATGCACACACATGTACACATACAGACACACAAACACACACACACACATACATGCACATATGATACACACAGTCCTGCACTCGTATATACTTACTTACAAAATCATTCACATACACTCAAATGTATTTCCTATCTCCACCTTATACACGACATAGGGAAAGGCAAACAAACATGAAAAGTAAGCAAAGAAACCGCCAAGCGTCGTTGCCTATTCCTCTGTTATTGTCCGCCTGACACAAGCGTTTTAAACTGAAGCCTCAAACTCCCGTGACCCAAGAAGCCGCACGCGCCCGCACTCTCGCTCCATCAGTCCAATGTGCCGTCACACATCGTAATGCAGGCAGCATCGCTTAAGTAGCATAGACACTTATTCAACGAGTCGTGTCCTTATGATTTGGTCGCTGAACCTGGGACCGGTCAGTCTGAACTTATCAAACGGACTTCAGCTGGAATCAATAATTACAGTTAGTTGACCTTCTGTGGAGCAGATGGTTCAGAATAGTTATTAATCAATAAAGAAAAGTATTTTTCACAGTTACTGGTAAGGAACCTGGTGCAATACGTTCCCATTGACAGTGTTTAGATCGTTTAGAAGGTTTGTTGCTTCGACCTTGCCCCTCAAGACCAATCCTTGCTAAGGGAATGCAGCATCCAAAGAAAAAGATGAGCCTATTTGATTTAAAATACTTTTGTACGCTGGAATTGAACTTGTGTCTTATGTATGTAACGGCGATAGCCATAACAATTACACCACAGATGCCAGTCCCAGTAGACTCGAATCTGTTAAGTCTACGATAAGTCACCAACAACCTCCACAGCAATGAAAGATATAAATACATGATACAATATGATATAGTATAATGTAATCTTGTTAAAAATATTTCAACTGGCCCGCTTTCTTCGGCCTTTTTTTTTTGGGGGGGGGGGTTACATTGTATTGTATCATATTGTATCATATTTATATTTCCGACCTAAACACTGTCAATGTGGACGTATTGCACAACTTTTCACTTTCTTACCAGTAACTGTGAACAATACTTTTACTTATTGCATAAAAAAATGGCTAAAGATCTATGGAACCAAAAAGGTAGATCTAGATCTTTAGACCCTCTTTTTTCCGTAAAAAATGAATCTATGACACTAGAGTCTGAACGCCGTTCAAGAAAATCGGATGTGTGTGCACCATTGTTAAGCAGTAAGCACTTCCTGGGTGTCAGTCTGAATCGGTTACTGAGTACTGCTTGAATACCCGATGTTTTGAGCCAGTGATTTGCTTGTGTGGGCGAGAAGAGACTCCTTTCACCAGCGTTTTGCAATACATAAGGCCGAACAAGGATCGATAGATACACTCATGTTCTCGCTCACACACTCACACTCACACGTACGAACAACGCTGCCTACCCAGAAAGCTCTGTAGTAGCCCGTAGGTTTCTATCCCTCAGTCTGTTTGCGATGGTTGCTTGCCTCTGGGTCGGATAATGCTAGAGGATGTTATAGAGAACGGAAATCACTGATTACCCTGATGATGCAGCCTAGATAACGGAATAGAATACCATTGAGTAGTGTGGGCTGTTTAACCTGGATGGTTTGAACGATAGTGATCACGTTTGTTAATAATTAGGACCGGCAAGCTGTTGTGTGCATGTCCCTAACACCCGTGCAATGTGAAGCTCAAATCGTTATGGATATATAAAAGGAAAGCAAACGATAAGGTGAGTGTTTTTTTTCTAGTACTTTTGCTCTCTTCTAGTGCCAGTTTCACAATTTTTCTAAATGTTTTAGTGGAATTGTAACCAAATGTCAGCCCCACACTATTTCAGTGTTCTGATCACAGTAAAAGAGCATAGCACCGTGATGTCAACTGATTAGTAGCACAGTTAATTCCTTTTCTTTTTATAAACGTTCATTATTTCTCGATACTGTTGAGGCTGAAAGGGGTGTTGTTGAATTTGAAGAACCCAAGAGGTATGATCATATTTTTAAAAAGCAGTAAACCCTCTTTGTGATCTCATAAGCAAAAGTGAAAAAGGTCACACATGTTCAACAGTTTGAAATTCTAGGATATTATCGCTACACCGGATGCCAAATGTTCTATAGAAATAAAAGGAAGAATATCAATAGCTCAAGAAAACTCAAATAAACCAAATTCCGAAAAGAAACTTACCAGTAACTCAAAACAGTTCTAAAAGGCTGTGTGTGGTCAATCTTTTTATACGGCTGTGAATGCTAGGCTATAACCAACATCAGTGAAAATGAAATGGAAGAAACAGATATCAATGTGCTTTTTTAGCAGCCTATAGAGGTTTTCTTGGTAGGAAAAGAAATCAAAATGAGGTAGAACTTAAAGAAACTCATGCAGGCCTCTTTTTAATAAGAACAACTATGAAGAGACAAGTTTCTGAAATGTAAAAGTCTGGAACATTTTGCTCGTTCGGAAAAGAGAAGGAACTTGAAGAGTGTAGACCCACAGCAACCAGCTCCGAAAAAACTGAACAGATGGGTGATAAGGGAATACGTGTACACCAATGATTTTATAATACATTTCAATATAGATTTTTTTTGGGAGAGCACAACTGCAACAATAACAACAACAACAACAACATCAACAACAACAACAACAACAACAACAACAACAACAACAACAACAACAAAGAAAAAGAAAAAAATGAAAAGCAAACCATGATCGCAGATGTCTGTTTCAGATCTGGCACAGAATGATCAATAGCTATGCGATAACAACGTCTACTCCAGATTAAATTGTTTTTCCAAGATCTTGTTTACGTTCAGTTATACGAATGTACGTGCATACATGGTGTATACACAAACATACACACACAAGCACACACACGCATTATACAAGTACATACATGGGTATGAGATGTGTGTTAAATTTTGGACATGGTTTATTATCTACCAATTCATACCTACATAGAGTTGCAAACAAAGCGTCTGAATTGGGAGCAACATCACGTTTCTTCAGCTGTTGTTTCATGTTACTTTACATATCTGTAGGATTCATATCGGGCTATTTATTGATGACCATTCTGTGGTTGTTTTTATTTGTTGTTTTTTAACCTTTTTTTCAGACAAAAATACAATAAATAATATTCCTAAAAACAAATAAAGAAAAACGAGGAGACCCCAATAGCTAAGGGTACAGGTCATGTTGCAGAGACCGCTGGGTGTGATTTTGACAGCACTGGACTGAGTAACCCCCATCCATCCCGCCAAATTTGCACTTGAATACGACTGCTCACAATTACTATCTTTAGCCCTTGTTTTTTTAAACAGAGACGACTGTTTTTGTTTGCGTTTCGCCTACGTGAGCAATTAGAATACTTTACTGCCACATGTTTTCAAACAAACAAGGAAGGGGGTGGGGGTGGGGATAACTGTTCTTTTGTGTAGGGTGTTGTTACAAATGATCTGTTTTATTTTGATTATGCGACTACAGCTACGTTGGAGGTATAAAAACTATAGACAGCATTGACAATGGTCATTTATACATATTGTCATAATTTTCTCCTCAAATATTCTGAGCACACTCCAAGTTTATAAGGGAGAGTAAATAGTTCTCTTTTCCAATAAAGAGGATAGGAGCAAACTCTGTTGGGTTTAATTGATACGTCACAACATCATGTGTATATTTTTCCCGTATAAACTGTACCTTGTCAATAGCTCTCACGCTATATTTTGTACTGAGTTGTTGAAAAGGGCCGTATTAAGTAAAAAATAACTAATAGATAACATTATCAACTAATTTCACAGTGCAAGGCTTGTTATACAAAATGTCTCTTTGTGCTGAGTTGGATGTGTAACTCACATACGAACAATATAAGAAAAAAACCCAACCAAAATATAAAAATAAATAAAACACAGCTACAATATTATAGTTTATAACAAACACTTCAACATTTCCTTACTTGCTGTTTTCTTTCTTTCTTTCCCTGTCCATCCATTAGTGCACAATAATCAAGTACTCAATAAGAAGCACAGATGTCATAAGGTTGGCCCTGCTTCAAATTTGTCCTTGAACATGGATCATTTGGGGAACTTTAAGGCTCTTCTTTCACCTGAATAGATCAAAATTATAGGCGATAGAAGACAGTGTTGAAAGCGGCTTTAGAACCAAACTATACCGTGCATTTCTCTTACTTCTTCGGAGTTTGTCTGTGTCTCTGTCTGTGACCTCTCACACTTTTTTCAACCACTATCCCCTCCCCACTCCTACTACCCGGGTGACCATTAGTGTGTCATAGTGCTTAACGTTAACTCAGACAAACAAACTCCAGACGCCGTAATCCGCCGAGGCTCCGGGTCTCATAACTGAATTTGTTGGAAGCGATCCCTTGACCTATTTTCAGTGATCCCTGCTGGATACCACTCCTCTCTTTGAGTACTTCGACAGACACAGGAACGAGGCAAGATGTACAGAGTTTTCCGAGGTAGTTGCAGCCACCATATTGGATTATATGAGCACAAAAGAATCATGTCTCCTGTTGTCGTGGGCGGTACCTAAAATCCTGAACACGCCTTTCCCGCTATTTCCACATTTTAAATTAGATGGCAAGGTTTGAAATCGTGAACTCAACACAATTGGCTTGTTATAATGCGGTCAAAAATCCGTTGCGCAACTTATCCTCAAATATCTCCTTAACGGATGAATCAATGTCACCCATATTTAGCACAGCAGTTTGAATCATTTTGTCTTAACTTACTCATATTTTCCCACAACAATTGAGGCTAGATTCAACAGCATTCCCCGCTTCTCATACACATTTTGTATGGGCTTATCGCCAATATCACAGCTAAACTATCACCGTTTTTAGGCGTAAAACTTGTTATAAGAAATTAATTTTGTAGCGAACACATCTTTTGCGCTAAAAGTTCTCAAAACATGAGCTGGTGTCACGATTTGAAAAAAATATGACGAACTTGATTTTAAAAGTGAAAATTTCTTCGCAGCTGTAAACCTTTTAAAATCTGTTGAAACCACCCACTTGGATTTTTATATTAGTATCTTTCTATTAAGGAATTTTCTAAAATACAGCTAACAGGTGTTTACAAAAATATGAATTTGTTTAGACAAATTAATTGATACAAGTCCGTGTGCAAAAGCTGGAGAGTCTATGTTCGATAGTTTTAAGAAAATATTTTACAATACGTTGCGCCCCAAATTTTTGACCGCGTTGTAGTTGTATGCCCAGAGAAGCAAATTTAGAAGAAAAAAACAACGACAAAACAAAAACAAAAAATAAAACACTGTTTTATATATATAATTGCTGTTACACACCTCGGGCGTCTGTACTGTAAACATTTTGTAAGTGGGTGGTTGGCGGGCGCTCTGGTGTAGTTTGCTTGTTCTTTCCTATCCAACAACTATCGTCTTATTCTCCCCTCCTTCTTTTTTGTGTTTGTTACTCTCTTGTAACACCTCAAATCTTCGGCACGTATATGACCTTATTGTGTTGCAAGTGCCGTAAAACTCTTACTATAACTAAAAAAACTTTTGGATAGCTTCTTGTTTCTGCTTCTCCCAGAAGACGTACCGGTGCCTGTGGTGCAGCAGTTACAAAGGCGCTTCGCTGTCGCTCGCAGGAGACCCGATTTCGATTCACGAAGGGGAAGAACATAATAATATACATTTTTTTAAAATCGAGTATCTCGGTCTTTCTGCTGGAATGCTATATTCCTCTCAGTCCTGGTTGGCCTTGACAGGCAAAAATCGGAAGCCTGCTTTTTAAATGATCAGAAAGTGTATCGATAGGGGCGAAAACTCACCTACTTAGAAAAAAAATCACATAAGACGTGAGGTCTGTTTCCGCGTTTAGAAGTGTTCTATTGTGCAGCACCTTCGTCTTTTTGCTGGTAGATCTCACTCAGCCATGGGTTCCGGGGCAAAATAGGCAACATCACAACCTCATTCGTTTCAAAACAAAACAAAAACAAAACAAATTTCAAAATTAAATTATAACATTTCCTCAAAACAATAGCAACAAAACAATTATACGCTGAGCGTACGGTTACTGGTGTAGAACTAATGATGCCGATGATACAGGTCCCAATCTCCTTCTGGGTATTCTAGAACTTGGATTGCTTCTGGAGCTTCCTTGGTTCTCAATGCATTTAGCTTGATCCTTTCGGCAACAGGAGTTAAATTCGAAGATTCCACGTTTTGAATAACCTTACAGTGTCGGAACAGGAAGTGATTAAATTATATTTTTACTTCTGTCCCATCTAAAAAGCGACCTAGCCAATGGCAACGGCATTTCTTTATTTAATACTCGTCTCAAACGCCATTATTTTAGCGAAAAAAGAGGCGAGGAGAACGAAGGTGATGGTATGACCTCAATTGAGATTATGCACTTTTGCAAGATCCGTAACCCCTTTCCGTGCCTTATCAGCCTATCTAGAATCTGATTTCTTAATAAGCCGAATACACCTTTACTCCATTACTAGGACTTTTATGGTCAGATGGGATCCAGCACAGTTAAAAAGTAATAAAATGTGTGTCTTCATGGTGAAACCAGGCGCTCGTCAAAATCATTAAATCGAAGAAACCGATAATTTTTAGCCTGTTGGACAATTTGTATTTTTATTTTTTTCTTTCGGCTGCAACACCTTTTATGTCCATTTGAAAACACATTCCTGTGTGGATTTCACTGAAAAATGTTGATCAAAGGCATACACACACACACACATACACACACAC